CAAGGGAAGGGATCCATGTTGCTCAGTGATTTTAAGCCTACATCTATGACAGTGTGTCCTCTTCTGGACTCTAAAGTACAAGATTGATATTGATGTACTGGACTGAGCCCAGCAGAGACCACAAAGCTGATAAAGGATGTGGAGCACAGGCCATATGAGAAAAGTCTGAGAAAGCTGGATTTGTTCACCTTGGAGAAGAGATGCTGAAGGACAGGCCGTGCTGCTGTCCACAATTAGCTGATCAGAGAATGATAGAGCTAGAGTCTTCTTGAGGGCACACAGTGATAGGATGGGAGGAAATGGGAGCAAATTACTCCAAGGTGGGAGATTCCAAATAGATATTAGGGGGGGAAAAATCCCATGAAGACAATCAAATACTGCTGCAGAATGTCCAGAAATGTTGTGTAGTCTCCATCTTTGGACATGTACAAAATTGATTGAGCATAGAGCTGAACAACTTGATCAGTTTACATCTGTTTTGAGCAGGGCATAATGACTATTGGAATTCTGGAGATCCCTCCCAGCCTAAGACATGATTCTGGAATTCTGGCAGTATGCTTGAGATTGTGAGGGAAAATTTCTATCTGCTCATATACTGATTGCCACAGAGATATGAACATTTCAAAACAGAGGTAGTCTTTATTTTAAAGTCCCCTAACAGTTTTGAGGTGTGTTTCCTAAGTAGTCAAGCAGGGTCTGTTTTGTGGACAAAATAAAAAGCATTTAAATTCGCAGTCGTGCAATCTTCCATGTTTTGCTCTCACACCATCCTGTGTGCCCTATAGAGACTTCTGAAAATTAGGAATTGGGAAGTGCATGTTTCTAGAGTAGAGTATCTTTTGCCTTGAAACAGGACTGTATAATTAAGTTTTTGCAAAGCCTTTTGGATTTTTGTTCCTAGAATATAATGACTACACTTATGGTAAATACAGGCAAATACAGGTTATTTGCCACAAGAATTTTAAAACTATAGTCACATGAATTGCTTTCACAGACTTTTTTTTTTTTTTTTTCTCCTCCATCTTTTTTCTTCCTCCTTGAACAAAACCTAAATGTTCATTAGTTTGTAAATAAAACACATCTGGCACCAATAGCCCTCATTTATGAGGTCTGTACTATCAGTTCACATGCATTTAGTTGATTTTATCCCATGACTATAGGTAAAGGGAACCTCACTAGGTGTACAGAAGAGTAAAATTAGTTGCTATGCATTTCAGACACAAAATATTATTTTTTAAAATGCTGTTATTGTGGTCAGCTCTACTTCTTTGTACCAAAGAGGAATTCTCCTTTTATGCTCCAGTTTCGAGGCTTCATTCTGCAGCCGCTGAACTATTTGGAGTTTTGCCTGTGCAATGCCATGAGATTAACTTGTTCTGTGACTGAAACACAGCAACATTCCATAGCACCTTCCCAGCTATCCACAAGGAGTAAAACCCCCAGGGCTTAACACAAGAGTCTCTACAGTTGGTGAATGGGACAGTTCCACCTCTGTGACCGAGTCCAGAGGGTCACAGAGTGCATCACCTCCAGGTTTAACCTCCAACTCCAGTCAAATTAGGAGTGCCCAATTTTTCACAGCTCCTTCATGTTCTTAACCTGGAGTAATTTTATGCCACAAAAGTATTTATAAATATAGACTGAAAAAATAATCTTATTAGTCAGATGAAGGTGTTACTAACAAGACAATGAACAGGAACCAGTTGTGGGTCCTGCAGCTGACATTCATAGTGGTGTCACTGCATGCTCGTTGTAATGTGAGGTAAAATATTGATTTATTGTTACAGATAATAATGATGTGCAAGATCCAGTTAAACTAGCAACATTTCAATAGATGAATGAAAATAAATCGTCTCACTCATTTTCCATTAAATCTGTAAACATCTTTAAGTGCAACAAATTGTTCTGATGACCAAAACTGTTTTATATACATATTAAGAAATATATACAATCTTCCACATATATTTATTCATTGGCAAATTCCCAGACTGGTTCAATTCATTAAAATACAATTGGGAAATGAAAACAATAATTTTTATCCAAGTACGTTCTTAAAGGAAGAAGTGGAGAGACAGAAAAGCATTTCTGCTCCTGAGAATGAGCTAGGCAGAATTATTCCATTCAGTCAATAATTTAATGAGAAATCTTATCCAAGTCAACATTAATAGGACTGTGCCTTTAGTTTTAATTTTAGTTCCTTGAGAGTGATATTTTCACTAGCACAGAGAGACAGGATAAGATTAATGCATTGTTTCAGTCTCATTTAGACTTTAGCAGACCTCCACTTCTCTATTTACTGTAACAGAATTTACAACTGGTGTTCACCCATCTACATGGGAGTAAGACTTTTTCTAATCTGAAATCTATTGTAAGAACAGTTCTAGAATAAATTTACTTCTTTTAATTAACAGAAAATACAACAGTTTTTAATCAAGGTAACACTAAAGGTTTGAAAACACTCCACATTTTCTGGAAACAGACTTTTTCCCTGAGGCCCTAGTTTTTCCTTCACTAGTTACCTTGTGCAGGACACAGGGTCTACCTGACTTTTTTCCTCTTTTTTCTTAAAGTGCCTATATCAGATATGCTGGTGTAAATACTTTTATATAACAAAAGTAAAAATTTCCTCAAACACACATAAATCTGTTCAGAGCTGATATGTTCTTCCTGACTATACTTTCAAATCACGCTATAACCATATCAACTCTCTTGATAGTGCATTTATAGAGTTTTCCTTCAAACTTAACTTTGGGAAAATGGATTTTGAATTAAAGTAAGAAAAGGGAGAAAACTAATTTAAGGCTGCTGATAGAAATATAGGTAGAAATATACATTTCTACACAAAAACTTTTCACCATTGAGAGCCGCATTTAGTTATCTAAATATAATTTTTATGCATTTGATTGACTTAAAAAATTTAAATTTTATGGATTTGATTGATTTCCAGGTCAACTAAAATGCAATGCTTTGTAGTAATACATGGTATAAAAACTATTTTTAAATAGTTTTTATACCATGTGTTACTACAAAGCATGAGTTATTTTATACATATATTATAACAAGCATGAGTTATTTTCCATACATCAGGGCTCAACAAGTAGCAGTACCTGGCACAATAATAGCAAATTGGCTTTGCAACTACCATACAGTGCAGGGCCCCTTCCAGGTAATGCTGTGGTAATAAAATACACACCTAAAAAATTAACGCTGTTCCAGAAATTTTCCTTCAATTGTGATGAAAGATCCGATTTTGGAGCAGTTCTCTCTGGGACTGGCATGGGTTGCCTGGAGAAGCTGTGGATGCTCCATCCTTGGAAGTGTTCAAGGCCAGGCTGGATGGGGCCTTGAGCACCCTGGCTAGTGGAAGGTGTCCCTGACGGGGTCAGAGTGACTGAGACAAAATGATCTTTCTAGTTTCTTCCAAACCAGGCCATTCCACGTCTCAGTGATTCTATTCAATCATTTGTCTGAGCTTAATTTAGGATAGTTTGGAACATATCAGAACAAGGATTCTGAAAGTGATATTTAATTTTTAAAGAACAGATAAAATTTGTAAAATGACTTTACACAAATTTCAAGTTTGCTCCTCATGAGTATTGAGAGCAATAGCAGCTCATTTTTGTGGCCAAAGAAATGGTTCTAACATTTAAATTTATTTTATGGAGCTAAACCAATTGTTTTTGGACTCTATTCTGACTTATTCTAGTGAGAGATAAACCAAGGTCTATCAAATTATTTCTAATAATAGTTCACCAATAAGTCAGACAACCAATTTTGACTTTCAAATCACAATTTTGACTACTCAGAGAAGTCAGAAAAAGCTGGACTCTCAGGCATCAAATTTTATATGCTTTCTTACAAGTTTCAGAGACTTTTGACACTTCTTATGTACTCTGTAGATATACATGTATATTGATTTTGTGTTCCATATCTTGCTGTGGACATCGTGGAAAAAGACAATAGCTATCAAAATTGTTTCAGACTTACAAAATTATGTTTCAGGTAAAACCTGCTTATTAATGATTGCTACTTTTAGCCACAATATTTTTATTTTCTGCCATGAGGTTATATTTGTCCCACCTCTTCATTACCCCTATGCACAAACTTTTCATCTTCTTATCAGCTCACCACATTATGAGTCTGAGGGTGCTGGACTTCTGAGATTATCAGAAATCATGTGAAGAACATGAAAGCAGTTAAAATAATATTCACATTTGTTACTTTGCTGTACTTTACATAGGCTTTTGGCAAGCTAATAGAACATTTAAAATACTGTGGTTCTTTGATATTTTTGTATCACTCTAGCAATACAAGGGTGGTGTTTAACACATCTTTATGGCTTCAAAAGGAGTATATTTGCTGTACAAATTAATATTACTGCAGAAATATTTTTCATAATAGCCTGGTCAGAAAACCTGGAATGTAATGGCAACCTGAATTCCTCATTGTTCCATTTCAATCCCTGGCATGGATTTACCAGAAACCTAGCTCCTCTACCCTGAACAGCATTGCTAAGAAATGCTAAGAGCAATGTGCATTTCAAGCCTCATGATAAAATAAGCTCATTGACTGTGTGCTCATGCACAAATCTAGTCTGATTTCAAGATAGTACAACCACATTGTGTAAATTACTATGATGCTCTGGAGTATAACCCAAATTGTAATCTGATCTGCACAGTCACTGTTACGATTTGTTACCTGGAAAAGCAGAAATCCAGTCAGAATTTGAGATGAGTTTAAAAATAAAGCGGAAAATAATCTTTTATTTTATTAACTGCAAATATGAAGTGTAGATAAACTATTTATGGAATTGAGATGGCCTGTCCTAGCCTGAAATGTGTGTGTGTGAGCTTCCTGGTCTTTTTTAGAGTCAGCAAAGGTACAGTTACTGAGTTCTGCTGATAGCTCCCCTGATCAATAAAAATATCTCCTTCAAAAGAAAAGGAATAATTTCCTAGGACTCTAAGAGCTACTGTGAGCATTTAGAAAATGCGCAAATGTCTACATTGGGTTCATCCCAAATTAAGCAAGATAAATCCCTCTCTAGCTATGCAAAATTAGGTGTTTGAACTATTAATCAAAGCTGCTTTTAAAGTCAGTGAAAGGAGACCAGCACCTCCACAAAGCAATTAATCTTATCCTTGGATGTGTGTTTATCATCACAGATGGAAGGAAACATACCTCCACTGCAGGGAACCCTGAAGGTTAGATAGGTAGATTAGATACCAGCAGTGGGTTTTGTTCGAGATTAGATGTAGACGTGAGTTGAGTTTATCAGCTACCATTATAGTCAAACGGGCTTCTTCTTTTGGTCTAATATCATTTGAGATGATCTAGGATATCCTGTCTGTGTTCAGTTGCCAGTACAGATGATTACAGGTCATATGCTGCAATTTCCAGCCTGTCTCAAATGTGTAAGGTGTGCTAAAGTGCATCAAATGAAATTTTATACAGATATTTTGGTGAATAAAAGAAGTTCAATGAAAATTCAATCTGTTCTAAAGGAAGAATATTGTGTAAGGTAAATCTGTGAGAAATCAACCAATTACATTATCTACCATAAAATTAGCCACAAAAGATGAAGCGAGTAGACACAGCGTATTCCCATTCTCAATGTATGCAAGTATGAAGAACCTGTGAGGAAAGTCTCTAATGTTAATATTTGCTTTTACACAAATAGTCTTCTCTCCAGTTTACAAATTGGATTCAAAGACACCATTATTGTCACAGAAATACAATGTTTGGCTTACATGTGAAAAATAGCATTTGTCTCACCCTCTGTTCAGACACAGAAGAGAGGAAAATACCACTCCAGAGCTTTGATGAGCTCTGACGAACACATAGACTCACTACAACTTCAAAGAAATGAATCCTGGTCTTGTATAAAGAATGCAAAACTCCCGCAGAAGTAAAAAAATACCTCATTCATATGTCTGGAAACAGGATTCAGCTCTGAGAACTAAAACAGCTTGCACCCACCTGCTGCTTTAATTCTGAAACATCTTTTCAATTATTATCTTGTATAAATCACTAATCCAGAGCAATGTGCTTTACTATGAAGACAGTATTCCAGTCATAAAGTTTGATCCAAGTGGAAACTCCACAAAATTAAGCAGGAATGACCAGAACATTACAACTATGATCTTGGTTTTCTCCATGACAAACTCTTGCATTGACTATTACACATTTACAAGGTTTCAGTTTTCATTTGGTTATTGTTGTTTAAAGCCGGAGAAGGCTTGCTCTTCTGGCCATCAGTTCCTCCTTTGGATGTGTCCTGGAAGAAAAGCCTTGGCATCCACAGTGACATCAAAATTCGCTTATATTCATTCCGAAAATTCTGATTAAGAAGACCATATATTATTGCATTAAGGCAGCTGTTGAAATAGGCCATTAAGTAACTTATAATGAATAACCATTCAGGAACTTTTGGTGCCATTTCCGTAGGATCAATGGCTACAGCCAGTCCAATGAAGTTTAGAGGTGCCCAGCAAAAGGCAAAAATCACAAAAACAACAAACATGGTTAGAAAGTTTCTGAAGTCACTTGGCTTCAATCTTGGCTTTGTTTCTGACTTGACTCGTCTTCGAACTTGAAGCACTAAAACCCAAATTCGAAGGTAGCAGAAGCTGACAATGGTGATAGGGACGATGAAGTGAATGACCACCACAGCTATTGTGTAGTAGGAGCTTGCAGTTTGGACAAACGTGCATGAATAGATGCGTGGATCATACTTCAAAGAGCCAACAAAAAAATTTGGCACAGTTGCAATTACTGTTAATATCCAGACTAAGGAGACGTACAACATTGTATTCCAACAGCTGTACACTTTGTCATAGGCAAAACTATGACATATGTAGCAATATCTGTTTATTGCAATTGCAGTGATGTTGAAAATAGAGCCTATTACACTTAGTCCCATCACAAAGCCACTGGCTTTACAGTGCGTTTCACCCAGTGTCCATCCATTGCGGAAAATAGCTAAGAGCACCAGTGGGTATGGATACAAGGCCACCACCAGATCAGCCAAAGCTAGGCTCACCACAAATGCGTTACCTGGAAGGAAAGAAAAATACAGAAGCATAAGTCTGAAAGCAAGCATAGCTGTGAAGAAGAAGAAGAAAAGTGTTTCATTATTTTGGACGTCTGCAGTGCTAAATTATTGGTGATGTCAGCAAGCAGCTGGTATATAGGACCAACAGGGAAATGATTTTACAACGTAACTTGGAGCACCACGGAAATATCTGGAGCAACAGGGTGTTTCCAGTCTGTTGGTGACTGGATTATATCCTCCTTGCCCTTTTTATCTTTAATAAACATAGCCATAAGTGAGCTGTTACATAAGCACATGTTTAGTTGTTTAAGTGTAGCTAACTCCGCGGTTGGATTGATAAAATGAAAAAGAAAAAAAAGTCTAAATTGTGCCAGGTAAGTAAGCCATTCTGCCATTCTATCCCATCACTTGCATGCTAATGGGCTTCTCAAGCATAAAGGAGAAGGATATACAAAGACTAGGTTTATAGGTATTGGAAGAATGTCTTGTTTTATGTATACTCTATGTATACTCTATGTATACTCTATGTATACTCATTGCTGCAGAATGTTCTGTAGAATAGATATTTTCTGCATGAATGGTCTACCCATACTGCAGTTATTTTCTTCTTGGATTGTCTGAGGAAGAGTGGATCATCTTCACCATCCTCTGCAGAAAGGCATATTTAATTATACAAAGAAAAGTTCCTTACATGCAAGAGGAAGTATTAATATTTTCTGATGATGATATTCAGGGAATATAGGTGATATGGTTGAGCCCTGTAACCAGTGTCCTTTTCATCAGTTTGAAATATCTGACATTGTATCTAAGGGTATTTTTATAAAATAGTGAGACAGTAAGTTATATTCCTGAAAAATGTTCTTTAGGAACTTCACTCTAGAAGACAGAGGTACTAATGTTGAATTCTTGGCATTTAGGTAACATAATATGTATATGGTTTGTATGGTTTTGTGTATGGCTTTCCTACTCTTCTTTCTTTCCTGGAAGTCCTTCACAGCATAAACTGATATGGAAAAATCCAAGTAATTTTAAAAATTGGGCATGGAAAATAATTTTTTTTTGGAAGGAGAAGTTAGGTGCTCCATTCTACATATTCTGAGCTTACTAGTCCTCAACTAACAAGTTCTTCATGTCATATTAAGAATGGCATTAACTGGAAGTCGTAAAAGCAACAACCACGTATAAATATGCTAATCAAAAATGACGGAATTTCACATCGACTCTGTTTTCTCCACCTGCTTTACATCTGTAGCTTCTTGAATTAGGGAATGGGGAGCTGTCTTTCTCCCATACACTTTAGGGGACCACCATGCTCACCAGAATTTGCACAACAGCAAGCAAACTTAATGGAAAGCAGGATTATCCATCTGCACCCTCAGAAACATAGCCTATCTCAAGAACAGTGCACAGCTTATTTCAGATAGCTGTATAAAGATAGTTACTTGTTATGCATTTAGTAGCCTGTTTCCTATATTTTAAAAAGCTACACAAGTCTTTCCATAGCTGCAGCTGGATGCTTTGTGAGGAAAGGCTGAACAAATTGGGGAGATGATTGAGTGAGCCATGATAACTTCAAATGTTCCTATGATTGTTGTGATTCCAAGCAAGCTTCAGTCACAACAAGGAAGTTTCAAAATAGACACAGAGAAAAAAAATTAATGGCAAGAAGAAGGAAGTGTGGGAACACCTTGCTCTGAGTCTGCCACTGAAGATTGTAAGAAAATAGAAAACAAGGATTTGTCAGCACTGGCCTAAATAAAGCTGATCCCTTTGTGCAGGAAGGATGAGATGACTGTGAAGGCCTCTTGTAGCCATGCGGCAAACAGGACAAAAACAAAACTAACAAAAGAACAAGGGCATCTTTATCAGAATATATTTACATCCTGGCAACAAGAATTTCTCTTACGTTTTTTCATCATTGTATCTGACATTAGAAAATAGAGAAGTCAAAAGTTGGAAGTCAGAAGAAAAAAAGGAAGGAAAAAAGGACAGGAAAAGGAAGGAAAGAAAATACTCTTTTTTCTGTTTTAGAATGTCTTTTGGAGAAAGAGAGAATTTAGTCTAGTGTGTTCACTGAGATTAATCTAAACTCTAAGGCCTTCCAGCATCAGCTTCTACCCAAAATGTAATTGTTCAGTTGAAATAGAGTGGGCATTGAGCTCTTTCAATCACATTTGGAAATAAACTGTCAAGTACATTTAGCAAGATTTTTTCAAAGTTTTGAGCACAATTTAGGACTTCTTGAAAATTCCAGGTGCAATGAATAAATAGAGTGAGCAAGGAACTTGTCAAAAACTTAATTTACTAGTTTACAACTCAGAAGAAAAATGATCCAATATCTATAAAGGCCTCAGGTGATTTGTCACTTCTATGGCTTTTTACAGGGTTGAATGTTCCCACTGTGCACTGCAAAGTAAGCTCCAATGGTATTTTGCTGTCTTTGTGGATGACTACAGTATTAAGTTTAATGTTTATTACTGCAATGAATAATCTACAGAAGTAGAGAGAAACTTTTCTAATTCAAAAAACATAAATAATTGACATTTTGAGAAATCAAAGGTCTTAGACATTTTCTATGTGCTTCGAGAAAGTAAATGTTCCTTGACACACCTAACCCAGGGCTTTTAGAGTGGCCTAAATTACATTAATAACATAAGTAAAGAGGTAACTTTTTGCTGCTTGTAACAAAATAGAAAGCACAGAATTTTCATCTAGCTGGAATTATTATCGTTGCTTCTGGAATTTACTTGATGAATTTTGTTCTTAGATTTCAGTTTCACTAGAGAGAGAGTTATTTTCATTTTTTCACTGGAGTGGAAATATCCTTAATTACAAGCAGTAGCTACTGAAAGCCGTATGTCTTGCCAGGTATTTAAAAATATGCACATCTGTGCTGTTTTAAACACTGATAGTTCTATGCATAAAAAAGAAAATAAGTTCTGATATTGAATTTGGGTGCAACAGAACTAGATAGGTATTTCATGAAGCTTTCCTGCATACTAGTTTACTTACTACAACTAACAGGAGAAAGAGAACTGTCACATCCTCTGGTAATCTTGGTATGACTTGATGTTATGGGAATTTACTTACAGAAAAAACTTTTTGGTAAGGCTAAAACTTTTAAGGGCTAAGCATCTGCTTCTGAGAAGACAACTGACTTTGAATTTCTTTACTAAAACCAGGAGCAATTGCAATGAGCAACTATTTTTTAAAGTTTTTTCTTCTCCCTTTGGTTTTAAACTGGTGAAAATGCTTAATTATATATCATATGTCATGGTGTTTGTGGGTTTTTTAGGTAACGTTTTGGTTGTTACACATTGGTTTAACAAGTTTTTATATGTCGCATACAGACATCACCCTCTTCGATCTATGACATCAGGTGGAGCAGAGAATTAAGTCTTTCACACACTGACATTTGAATTCCCTGTGACAGTACAAGCCAAGACCTAGGGTAAGCTTTGATTTACTGAGACATGTTAATTTGGTATAATGTTCAACAGCGTGTTGCTAACAGAAGGTGTAACATAATGCTCCAAACAAATGCCAGATGGGAGTTTGTTTTCTTTGTGAATGTGACAGTTTAAAGGCAGTGATATGCGCTTTTTTAGTTTTGTCTCAATATTTCAGATATTAGGGAGGTATACTGCAGACTTTGATGTAAGGGAAAGGGAGAGGCGATACATTTCCACTAGAACAACATATTTTAGAGCCTTCCTGCCCTCCAGCAGATCAACTCCCATCCAATTTGGTGTTGCCTGCAAACAACAGAGGGGGTACTCAATCCCCTTGTCCATATCACTGATAAAGGTATTAAACAGGACTGGCCTGAAGAAGAATGCTGGACTCACAAGAACAAAACCTTAGCACGTAAAAAGGACTTAGAGATTGTGGCTAAGTGACTTGCAGACTCCTGGACTGGAACAGAACTGTGTTCTTGGCCCTACATCTGCAGCTATGAGTTAGTGCTGGAAGCTACATTCACAGGAGGAGAATTTTAGGCTTATTAGGCAGATCTCTCAGCTGTCTGACACAGACACAGATTTACTGAAAGGAGGTATTTAAACTGCACTGTTGTGTTTGAGATCATGATTTTGGCATGCTTGGCAACTAGGCATGAATGTAACCCAAAACAAAACCTCCACTGCTTCTCCCTCTGGTTAAGTATGGGAACACCAGTCCTTGCTGCGAGTTTGCTGCCTTGAGTTTGCCAATAGACGACAGATGTAAGAGTGCCGTGCTGCTGTTAAAAGGCCTGAGGTTTGCAGTCCCTGGGCGCGCAGTTTGCTCGCCGGTGGCTCGCTGGGCGCTGCTGGGGACGGCGGTGACACTCTGTTGCCACCTAGTGCGGGAGCCACGGCAGAGACAGAGCATCGCATCCCCTGGCAGGGCAGCGGGAAACGCCCGGGGCTGGCTCTTCCAAAGCAGAACGCTGATCCTTAATCAGATACTACATTTGCGGGGCGATGAATACTTTTCTGGGCTTCTGATACTTTCTAAGATTGCAGGAACTTTTCCACTACTGGGTATTTTCAGGAAAAAAAAAGGGAAGCAGAAGAGGTAAGACAGGCTTTACTACTAGAAAATTTCACTGTTGCCTAGCAGTTAGGACTCTTCCATGACAGAAGAACCCTTCTTTGAAAAAGACTTGAGTTTATGTCTCCCGTAGTCCCCAGAGAGTGCCCTACTCACCAGCCCTGCTGCTCTTCTGGGGTTAGCGGGCTTGTCTCTTTCTAGGTTATGTTCAAGAATTTCAGCCTAGAATCAGAATACACAGGTTACCACTTGTATTGTAGAGTGCTCTTTATCAGTATGCTCATCCAAAATAAGTTTAAAAATCCCTCTCATGATTTAACAGCAGGGAAACTGAGATAGGTACAAGGCACTGATTAGGAAGAACACTCCAGGTTCATGAATTTTGCTCTTACTTTTCTGTTAAATAATACCACCTCTGTAAGGCATCCTCTGGGAAAACTGGCAGCACTGGTCCAGCTTTCTTCTTCCA